GCTGAAGGGGGTCAGGGCCAATGGGCGGCAGTTTCGGGCCTACCAGGATGCGTCGAATCAGTTGTTGGATGCAGGTAAAGTGGCTGGTAGTGAACTTGTGGCTACCGGGGCAGACAGGGCAGAGACAGCCGTCGGTGCGGTAGTCGACCAATGTGAACATGTACGCATTCGTTACAATCATAGCACAGAGCTGGATTGGTGTAGACTCGAAGCAGCGATTGAATCTGTCGTGTCTGGCTGTGTCTCGGTTTGAGGATGGCGGTTTACCCATAACCAGTTGGTAGTAGTATTGGCGCCGGGCCATTGCCGCGATCTCCTTATTGGACCAACGTTTTGTTGAGTTCTTCCTGGTATCGTCACAGAGTTGGCGACATGGTCACCCAGGTTTTGAGCTTCATCTAGTTTAGTTTACGTATAGTCTAATAAACCAGTAGTGTGCTGCACGGACTACAACTAAACTCTAGCCCGGAGCCTAAGCGACGATTCGACAAGCTAATATAAAAAGTATAAACGATAAGACAATATGTCTAAACCAACTAGCGTCCATCTACCGGTATTTCAAGGGGATAAGTTCATCCCTGTGGGCGTTTGGATGTCGAAATGGCGAACGATGAAAACCCTGCCTCAGTTCACGAAGATCAGGGGTGACAATCACCATACGACGATTGATCAGGCACAGTTAGGCCATATGTACAAGTATTTAGCTCAACACGTTCTGTTACGGGTTATGCTAATCTGCCAGACGATACCAGCGTCACAGACGTGGAACGGATTATCACCGAGAATTTCGGGCCAGCAACCAATATGTTTTGCCCTTCCGACGGATCTCCATCATCAAGCTCGCAGTATGAACCAGGATACCATGGTGGGAGCACGTTTACATCTAGTGATGTTATACGAGATGTCCCAGTATGTGACTACATCGATTATTTACCAGGTGGATTCGCTCTTACACCCCGCACCTAATGCTGGAAACACCTTTGCGACACCTCAAGTTAGCCTGCTGGACGCGGCCAAGGAAGCCAGTTTCGGACGTATTCTGGACCTCCCTATGCCACCTCAGCTTCCGCAGACCACGACCCCACGCCAGGGACCAGCGGTATTTTTAATGTGGTGTCAAAGGGCCCTTCATGAGTATGCCAGTAACCCAATTAACCTGCCGACTCGCGACAATGGAAGGACCGGCAATAAGCCGAACAGCGACCATTCTTTGCGGCATGCAAGGGACGTTGATGAAAATTTGACCGATCGAAGGCGCACTTCGCGCTATCATCTGGTGAACAACGGTACTGGCAGCGTGGATATCACTGGAAGCAAGTCTCGATCTCATGACGGTGACGGACCAAACCGTGAGACGTACGAAGAATGGTACTTAACCAGAAGTTCAGCCCGTGATTTACGGGATATCCTACTGTCCCAGCGTGCGAGTAAGCACCCGGTGGCTTTCGATCTAACTAGACGACAACCATCGCCGAGCGCGGGTGACGATGAAAAGGCACTTTTTGCGTATAAACAGGAGATTGATCGTCGGCAGATACTTTTGGACAATAAAACCATCGCTGATACGCCATTCCCGGACTTGACAGGGTTGATCTGTATGTTTTTTTACTTCGGTTCAGACTATGACACAGCATATGCGGTGGAGACCTACAGCAGCCGAGCGAGTTAAGTATATTTACTTTCGTTCACACATGTTGTGGTTTCCAACAGAATCCATGTATTTAATCAACGGTGTGTTGCTTCCGCGGTACGCCCACCGCATCCTTCTCGCCACCTCGTTATACTTGGCAGTTCAACGAATAGGGGACACGCCAAAATGCGACGAAGCAAATAAAAATTTATCGCACAGGCACCACTACACGCTATTACCACAGAAACGGAGTGTAAGCCTGCACTACACCGTATATATAACACGAACCTGGGTATGCTTACTAAGGCATTAGAGATTTTTCGAGCCGCAGGCCGATCATTCATTGGCATTGCCTTCCCTCAGAACCAGACAGCAGCTCATTTGAATATGTATGATTACCTTGTCCAGCTCGCGCCGCAGCTCATGCCGCCCGAACGCTACAGTCTACATATCCGCCTCACCCATTCCCACCATATGGAAATCCTCGGGCAAATGACCACTATGTAGCCAACAAAAGGGAACGCTCTACGTCGCGAGACCGAGACAGCAGTACGCGCCAAGACTAACGAAGACCAGGACGCGAGGATTGTCACTCTAGGGATGACCGCTAAGGGAATGGCCGTCGCACTCCTTCTAATGAACGTACTCCTCAGTGTTCCAAATGCTCTTTACGCCATCGGAGTCCTCAGTGCCCGATTTGTCATGCTTGTAAGAAGACCGGTCACTATAGGAATAAATGCCCCACTCACGCTTACACTGAAGCCAATGCAGCAGTACCCCATTCTCCACCACAGTGACTATTGGAAACAAAACCACGGACGGGCGTACACTGGGCCATGTAGCCCTCCGCCGATGATGTGACGACATTAGAAGGAATTCAACGAAACGCTGGTCCAACAAGGAGATCGCGGCAATGGCCCGGCGTCAATGCTACTACCAATTGGTCATGGGCAAACCGCCAACCTCAGATCGGGACAAAGCTAGACACGACAGCTTCAACCGCTGCTTCGAGCCTACACCAATCCGGCTCTGTGTTATGATTGTAACAAATACGTACATGTTCACATTGCTCGACTACCGCACTGACGGCTGTCTCTGCCTTGTCTGCCCCGGTGGCCAAAAAATCACCACCAGCCACTTTGCCTGCATCCAGCAACTGATCCAATGCATCCTGGTAGGCCCACAACTGCCTCTCATTAGCCCTGATCTCCTCCAGCAACTACAGGAGCGCCACGACTTCCATGGTGTCTGGACCCTCCACGAACACCTTGGATCTTTTCTCCAGCATGTAGAACAACCCCTGTACCCACACCCGTCTCTGACATATCAACAGATGTTTCCTATACCCCGGTTAATTACGCTGTTGAAGTACTACTTCAACCCTTCCGCCTATGATACTTCCAATACAGGCAAATCAGCACATCCCGAGTGCATCCGTGGTCTGGTGCGGCATCGGTTCACCCCCAACCTCGCTCCTCAACCGAATTACGACGGATAATCTGGTCCTACTTGGCATTTAGTACTCTGCACTAACCCATTCCACAGCACTACACGATAAAGACTCGATCCGAACCACAGAGGTGGGTACGCTATTTAGTAGGTCAAAAAGCGAATACGTGGCACACTCGATGGTGTCAGTTTTTTGTCAGCACCGGCCTGAATTGACCCAGCGCATATTCTCCATTGTCGACTCACTAGGTCCAAGCTTCAACAGGGAATTTACTGACCACTTCTTCCCATCGATCTTCCCCGAGCCACTACAACGGCTATGGGAGCCATACCATATGTACAAACATTGTAACTTAACTCCTTTGAAATAAATAATATTATCCCTATTGGAATGGAGGGGTCCGGTGACTACAGCCTTGTGTGAGGAGGAACCGGTGACTATCTATAACGATACCGGTTAACGACCGCTAGTTGAGCGATTAAATTTCGAAAGTGAGGATACTAATCCGGTTTATTTACATGGATATGGAGATACAGGGGAAACGGTCCTGACAGAACAGGTATCCTCTACATTGCTGTTGGATGGGTTAGCATCTACGGAAGTCGAGACTAATTTTAAGACTAGTGACATCACTTTTCCGGTGTCCGAGTGGATACCACGCAACTGCGTCATTTTAATGGGATTCGATACATTACAGAGCCATCTAATCCGCACCACGTGGGACACTTCTGTTACTCCCGCAAGATTTACATTACGATTGTCGCCGTCTCAGCCGGTCATGTCTTTAGTCCCACGGGCTCCGGACTACATCAGGCCCATAGACGAGTCTTGTGTCCCGGATCTCGACGCACAGGTTAAAGAGTACGATTTCACGGGGTTGTACCGCGTAGCGTTGTTACTGCACAAGTCACCTGCACAGGTCCAGAAAATGAAGGAAGTATTTAACAAAGTGCGTTTCGACCCAAACCACACGAAAATGATTAAGTATGTCAAGGTGAAGCTTCAACTCAAGGAAGGATCCCAGCCTTCAAGGCAAATATATTTCACAAGAGACCCAGTTCTCAAAGAGATGGAATTGTTGAAGATTGAACAACTTCATCAACGAGGGAAGGCTGAACCCGGGGATAAGTTCAGCCGCTGGGTTAGTTCAGTAAAAACGGTGGTTAAAGACAAGTACAAGGTTCCCGAATTTAAGGACGACTACCCTATTCTAATTAATTATGTGCAGGTTAATAAACAAACGGTGCGCATAGCTGTTCAACTACCTATGGAGGCCGAGCATACCGAACATAGCACGAACGTTATTATTGTAACCGTCTGCGATATGGCAGGGTCATATCACTAACTATTGCTTGACGGGGATTCGAGGGACAAACTTACATATGTCACAGCTGACGGTGTTTTCCATCGGCCTACGTGCCTCCAAGAAAAAAAATCGAGAATGGTGCATTCGATATGCAACACTATACTACCACGATTATCTCAGAGATCCACGACGCGGAGCCATACTTGGACGACGTCCCCATCGCCACTAAGAATTTGGTATCGGAGTCCGTACGCGAATCGCTCCTCCGGCATTGGGATCAAGTTTTTCGATTTGTACATATATGCGATGACAACGATATCCAGCTACAACCTCCCAAAAATCAACTTTTCATTTTAGCAGATTATTCCGGTACAATTTTACGGCCGCGGGCAAATTGAGAACGCGACCACCAACCTACAGCAGCGAGCAATGGCTTTGTTTAATCGCCCAGCACCGAAGAACCGAGCCGGATTGATTTCCTTGCTGGCAGTTCTATCATGGTGGGGACGCTACCTCCCGAGCATGGCAGCTCTATCGGCGCCGCTGTCCAACCTTACAAAGAAGGGCGTAGTGTTTCGTTGGGAGGCGCCACAGATGAAGGCACTTACGCATCTTCTTCATTTGGCCATGCGTCGTATCCGCTTGTATCACCCACTTCCCCATCAGCGGATAGTGATCATACCCGACGCCAGCAATGAAGGCCTGGGGGAAGCGACATTTGTCCAGATACCACCTCCTAGTACAAAGGAGTATGAGGAGGAACCAGAGTGTATACGTCAGTGTGAAGATTACCGAGCTAAGTTGGTACTATCACCTGTTGTAATTCACCCCCAAAAGCCACGACTCGTTAATACAGACGAGGAGGAAGCACTTTATACACGGTAACCCGAGGATCCAGCTATCTATAATCTAATAGAAAAACTGATTACGTTAGCAGGATACGAACCAAATCAGTCTTCTAGAAATGCGTCAATGGATAATGATCGTTCTTCCCACAGGGCACAGAGTGGTACACTTACACCAGTACACAGTGGTACACGTTTGCAGAATGTTTTACTTGACGAACACATACACCAGGGTGGTACACCGGTGTCGAGCAATTCACGTAACGAACTATCCGAGCAGTGTAGAGATACGGCCTCCGGTCAGTCTAAAATATCAAGATCAAATGAGATAACACATTGGTTTTTATTTGTATTTGAAATAATTTAATACAAATTCTTTTTCCAATATTTCCAAAGTGTTCTAAATTCACTTTGATGGCTCCAACAGCCTGAGTATTTGGTATGACTCATTTACTTGGACCTATTTGAGACGATAGTAGATGTAGGATATTATAAACTAAATTTTATAATCGCTGAACTACTACTTACAGGTTTTGGTCTTCCCGCTAATCTCCAAAATCCAATAAGTCATTTTCTTTTTCTAACAAAGAACAGCTAGAGGTGCGTGCTGTGTGATCGAGGATATTAAGGCTCTTACCAAGAGGCAGTCCCGATCATTCTTACACAAGCTACCACTGCTAAATCCTAACTGATTTGAATTGTATCTTAGTTTATATAATATAGTATAAAATATAGAAATATCCATCGAAGTTTACATATTTTTCAGATATTTAGTAGCTACCGTAGTGTACTGCTTCTAGACTGTCTACTAATTGCTTACTATCCAGCGACAGGACTGTAAGTATTCTATACTATCTCATAGTGGCTAATACTACCCTAAAGTTAGCTACATGCTAGTTAATATATCTAGACTTTATTAATTATCCTATTCTTGAGCTATTACTATGGCTAAAGGAAATTTCTAAAGGCAAAGGAGCCGCCAGCTCTAAGCCTGCTAAGCCCGTTGAGGTTCCTGAGGTTACTGGGGACACTGGTCCATCTGGTACTGAGCCTACCGTTGAAGCTGTAGAGGAAGCCGTTTCTGAGCTTGGCTCTGAAGAAACCTTTGAGGATGACTCGTCGGACCCTAAAGCCTTGTAAGTGGAGGTCTCAACTGCCGCGGAAAGGCTCGCCAGCGTCTGTATGTCTCCTAGTAGTGCAGCCCAGGGCCTCAGCTCGCCATCTGACCACGAAAAGTCAGATATTGGAAAGGCTATATCTCCTGAACAAGTAGAGGAATCGTCTCGAGATCGACGGTTTATTACTACTAAAAGTCAGCCTAATCCACCTACTAACAAAGATGGTGGCATTCTATTTCGTGAAATTTCATTGAATGCCTCGCCACTGAATGCCTCGCCACTGAATGTTGGGGCGGAAGACGCAAATGTTGGGGACGCCA